ACCAGCATGCTAACCGCGTAAGGCGAACAACAGTCAGGCATGGGCATTTAAATCATACTTACTACAAAATAACTGTGAAACCGTTTTAAGTTAGGCCGCAAATTCGGAACGGTGGTTCATTCAGGTGTTCTAGGTTTGCACGTACCTACATTGCGCGCAAACCTTTAACGCACTGCTGAACGCATTGCACCGCGCACCGTGGCGAATTTGTGGCCGAAAAGGGGGCATTCATTATCCTGCATTGCAGTCTGCCGCGTAATGCAGGATTATGAATGTAGTCGCAGTGTGCAGGCTTGCATCCTGCAATCCTGGAATGCGTACCTGGAACTCCTCGGTATCTCTGTATGGAGATACATGGGCCGTACGCAGGACAGTGTGTGAGCAGTCTCCTGCTTGCGCGGCGGACTGCCAGGCCGTTCAACTGTTTCGACTATCTTAGTAAAAACTAGTTTCAAGGGAAACAGACACGTATATTTTGGCCTTACCATCAGTCACAATGGGTTAACGTATTAAACTTCATTTTATTAAATTATTAATCACTTGTTATATCGCACTGTTAATGCAATAATGTACTCAAAATGTGTATTTTTCAGAATCGATGAAAGACTAATTACTCATTTTCCGTGAAAGATTATTCAAATTTAAACTTATGTAATATTATAAATTTATATAAGTTATATTTAAACCTATACGGTTAAAGTTTATTACATACATTTAAAGAATTTACTATTCGCCAAATATACTGATATTTGCGTAAAGACTTACAAAAAGTTTGGTCTTATCTTGAGTTAAGTAGATATCTTTTAATTGTTTCTTACACTATTCTAATGACGCTGTTATTGACGTGTAGAGAATAAATTTTACGTTCAGCATTAGTATAATCTCGAATTTCATATATTTTGGTTTACAACACTATTGTAATAGCAGTGCGATGTTTCTTGCCCTTAGGACTTCTTAATTATCACGATATTTACACAACCTCGGAAGAAATCGTTACAAGGGTAGTGGACAAGAGCGAAGGAGGGTCGACAGATTAGTTTGCCCTTAGGCTAATTTTACATTGTCCCGAAACGGAATGGAAGGGCATTTTTGTATCAAAATTTTCATAGTATAACATTGACTTTATTTGTAAGTCAATGTAGTATAATGTACTTTATGCCAATTGTGTAACTTATTAACTAAATACCATATGGTAGCTGCGAAAATTCCCGAGACTGCGCGAAAATTCTCCGAAAGATGATTTTGGGCGCGTATCTAATTTGTACAATATATGTATAGGTACAATTGATATAAAGTTTCTAAGAGCTGTTAATCGCAGCTGTTCAGTTTACTCGTGACCACTGAGCGTGTCCGAATTATCCGCACAATAAGAAGTCATACCACGGTGAGAAACCTGTTCTTTTTATTCTTTTCAACCGACTTCAGAAAAGGAGGAGGTTATCAATTCGACTGTTTTTTTTTGTGTATGTTGCTCGATTACTCCGGATTTGTGAATCGATTTTGATGATTCTTTTTTGTTGGGAAGTTTTGTATGTAAAACACGTTGCCTACAGCATATTACATATACCTATACATTAGGCGTTTAGCGCTTTTCCCATTGTATTTTGCTAGGTCTTAGGACGTTAAAAAAGGTACAATTAGGTACTAACAAACTATGAGTGTTGTCTGATAATAAAAGATTTTTATTTTATTTATTCTACCGCGAGTTCCACTACTGAGCTCTAAATTTATGTAAGATGTTAATATTCTCGAATACTTGTAAACATTGCCACCGAAACTAGGTAGAGAACACTACCCTGAAACTACCTCTGCAGCATTGTTTCTTAGACATAGTCCAAATATTACATATTATTACTTTATTATAATATAATATTATTACTTTTACATATAGTGCAACACAGACAGCCTCTGTATAATTATTTGGTGTTTAGTATACACTCCGCTTGCCGGTCTGATGCAGCAAACTAATACTCAACGAAAATAGGTGAAGACTGGAAATCAGCAATGCCAAATCTTCATCATTTTTGTCCACATTACTTTTTTTTGAGACCAAGTACGGGACGAACAAATCGCGCACCTCGTGGTAAGTGACATACGCTTGTTCATAATTGTTCGCTTATATTATATAGTCTAAGTGTTTTGTGGACAAATAAATGTTTTTTTTTTTTTTTTTTTTAATTAATACGAGAGAAATGCCATCATAAGGAGGGATTATTAAAAATGGTCATTGCGTTGTATCAACATTCTCATACATCCGAACAGAGGAGTCAAAACATGAAAATAAAATAATACACAGAGGAATAATATATAATAACTATATTTTCTTAAAATTACAAGTGCATTACAACTTTTGTATTTAAATACGTTTCATTGTTTAATAAGTCTTAAATAATTTTATTATAAAAATTATGGGCAAGGAATGTAAAAATTTTATGTTTATAACTTAAAGACTATGTTTTGATTGAAACTTTCACGATTTTCACACATTATTTGAATTTCATATCGGGAATTAATCGCGTTTAATAATATATTTTTCACTTTTCATGCTCTAAAAGTGGTCATTATATCCCTACGTAGCAAGAGTAAAGTGAATCTTTTAATCCCTGGGGAGTAAAAAGAACCTCAATTTTTAATTTACTACGAGTGAACAAACTCAAAATAGCCAGTACGCTCAGTTTTAGTTCCGTGCCTTTTCCGCATAGACGGTGGCGCCATACATCATTTTTTCATCATTCATCTGGTTGGAAAAAAAATACTACGAAAGCTTCTTTTTCTCCTGCCCTGGTAATCGAACCTGGAACGAAGATACTATACGATATTTATACATGATTAAGTCCCGATATTAAATTAATTAAATACACACATCAAAATTGTCTACGGATCAAAGTGTTTCTTTAAATATTTGATTACCCTGTTAAACTAAAGTAAAAATGTACCTATATAAATTTATTAAATTATTTTTTTATAGTTATTTATTTTTTTAAATTATGAAACTGACCAAAAAAACCATTGGTGTTAAAAAATAATTTAAAACACCTGATTTTCAGTAATTGGCAAAAACGTGCTTGATCCCTAGACATTTTTTATGTTGAAACAATATGGAAATTTTACAATATCACAATAATATCATATTGCGTCGGGGAAGGGGGCCTACTATGTGTTTTAAGGAACCAGCCTGTTTTCGTGCAATTCTTGCAAACCTACCTAAAATTGAGAGGCAATTGCACGACAAGAATTATGCGTTAAAACTCAACGTAGGGGAAAAAATATTACTCAAAAATAATAATTAGGTATTTTCCCCTTTCTCTAGCCTGCTAACGCTGTCATCTAAAGAACGAAATGAAGCAATACAAAGAATCATTATGAAAAAAAGAAAACACCCTGGGAGGGTTCAAGAGATGTTAGCCGATTGTGTTAGCAAAGGGAAACATTGTTCTCTAAAATAATTTTGTTATCGATTGATTAAGCAAAATACGTAATCGAGTTCTTAGGTTTTCGCGATTGTTACACATAGGAAATGAAACTATTTCTACGGATTTAAATCGCGTATATTTGTTTTTTCAAACAAACCGATGTCTCGGGCCCCTTACAGGTCCCATGGCCACGGTTGACTGAAACGAAACGTCGGTTTGTTTGAAAAAACAAATATACGCGATTTAAATCCGGAAAAATAGTTCCATTTCCTAAAATACGTAATTTTATAATATCGGCAACTTTTCAATCAGACTCTACAATTTGTTGTAAGACAAAATTACATGTCATGTCATTACATCCTTTTTTGGTGTACAATAAAGAATTTTTGTATTGTATTGTATTGTCATTATCTTTGAAATGAATGTGGTGAATTTGCAATTTAATAATAACATTCGAAAACTCATTTTATATACATATCTATTTTTATTTAATATTGTGCCGCACTGAAATTTGGCGCTATTTAGTAGTTACTGTACTATCTACATGAAAATAAAATTTAAAACATTATCAGAGAATTATGAAACTGAAAATGTATGTGAGTTAATTAAAAACTAAATTTTATTAAATATGTTTTTTAACACCAATTTCCAAAAAACAGTTTTTTTTTCATTTCATATTTTGACAGCGGTGACCTACAGTAGCATGGTGAAGTCATTATACGATTTTACCAAGAGAAAAAGGTGCACGGCTTTAGAACCTTCGCGTTGACGTAAATTGCATGGAACTTGCCTTGTTTAAGGCTTTCGAGGCAATTTTTTGAGCATATACCCTCATTATCCCGCACTAGGGAAACCTTGCATCGCGGGTGCCACGGAAAAACACATAGAGAACCACAAATTACACCCGAACTCGAGAGAGAAATAAATATAGGCCATGCAAATATTTCTGCCCTCCCGGGAATCCAACTCGGGACCTTCGCCCACGGAGGCAGTTGTTCAACTTACGGGCTTAATCAAGATTTCAATAAGAGCTCATAGTTAGGCCCCCATCTATATTCAAACAATATTCTATTTTTGCCTTTTGATCACGCTATGTTGAAATGATATCGGTTAAATTTCATTTTGTAAATTTAAATGTCGATCTCTGTAGGAAGACAATAACATGTTTTTATTATATTATTAAAATAATAAATATTACAGTAAATTATAAATTACTTTGTATTGAACTTATAACTGTGTTATAATGTATATAACGCATTTTATAGAATTTTATTTAAATTTACTTTCAATAACTGTATGATACATAATATTTGAAAGTACAAAATAAAGTAGATGAACCGTGACCATGGGACCTGTAAAGGGCCCGAAACGTCGGTTTGTTTGAAAAAACAAATATACGCGATTTAAATCCGGAAAAATAGTTTCATTTCCTATGTGTAACAATCGCGAAAACCTAAGAACTCGAAAAGTAGATGAAATTTAGTAAAAATTCGACTTAAGAAAAAGTTTATAAAATATGGTACACTATCCAGCGTATACTGTCACTACGTACTTTTAAAGTATTGAAATTAATAGTCCTGGGGAAAACGTTTCTTTTTAAGACTATCACGATTTACATTTAATTATATGTATTTTAGTTTCTGGTCGATGTATACAAACTGTTACCTTTGTAAACTTGTAACGCACAGACTAAATTTGCAGTACTGTAAAGCGATAATTTATAATATACTTAGCATGGTTGCGAAATCCAGAAATGAAGTAAAATTGCAGAAATGGTAATATAACAATAATAATAAATGATATGATATCGTAAATTCATTCGTTCCTCGGTCTGGACTTATCAGACTTAATGTATTTATCTAACTCGGCGTCACTGCCGGGGTCTACTTGGGAAAGTTGGCGGAAACTCTCGTCGTCAACGAAACATATTTCATGGCCGTCAGGGTCAGCTAAAATTATCACTCTCACTGTAGCTTTGCCGGGAGTGTCCAGTGAAATCAGAGGGGTTAGAATTTTCTCTCCAGCTTCTTGGATTTTCTTATCGATTATTGGTTGTTGTTCAAAAGGGCAGGAGAAGGCGATACGCCCATATGCCTTTGCGTGGTTTACTGGAACGCCTGAAAAGGAGTTATTACAACAACAATTGTAGATAAAGTTTGCTATTAATTTTTGTTCAGGAACTATTGTTTTTCTAAAGACGATAATATTGGTAATGGTAACGACACGGATATGAAAATATTATTATACTTAAAAATGATATAAAGCAAACAATACACGTTCATTTTCACAACTACTTTATATAAAATGGTAGAAAAATCGTCTAGCGCTAATCTTATCTAACAATAACTCAACCGTGGAGCATATATAGACTCAAGTATTATCTTGAATAATGTAAAATTCATGTTAGGTGCAAATATGCATGACGCATGAAAATCTATTTTATTACTACTATATTGTTTTAAAATTTATATACTTATTCCAAGGCCTATTCTCTTTAGAGCGGACGAAGGAAAACTGTAGTCAAAATATTTAAATATTCTCGCAATCTTTTTACGATCAACTTATACACAAATAATGTTGGTATGTCGGTCTATGCGAATAATGAACATTTTTTATACGGATTATTTCTCAAAATGGCGATCACACATACAGTCTATACAATTGTAACAAAAATTTGACTTGATATCAAACAATATCAAAAGGATTATTTGAAATAAGCGAAAAATATTTTTGGATTAAAATCTCAAATTGACCGCGTTCTAGTTGCGTGAATCGATTAAATGTACGAACAAAAATTTCCACGGTATGTTGAACTGGCAATACTTTCTAGGAAGCAGAAAAAATGTGTAATGACTAATGAGACTCGTTACTAACCAATATCAACCAGCTCGAGTTTAGCCTGGTCCTCACTGAAGCCCAGAAGAACAGTCTTGTCTGTTTGCTCGAATATCTTTAGAGATAGTAGACCGTTCCAGTAGGCGATGGACCTCGCCAGGTTTGAACTGGCCAGGGACACTTTTTGTACTGGGTCTGAAAAAAACAAAATGGCTCTTTTTAAGTTATCTACATTCATTATTACAATAATTTTAAATAACAAGTTTCTAAATACGAATATAAATATTATAAAACTTGGTTATTTGATGCACTGTACAGGCAAATGATATTCAAGAAGCTGGGTTTTAAATGCTCAAGGATGCATATACGTAATAACCATTAAGTAGTAGGCAAGCAAATTCATCATCGTCTAATGTACTCCTAGAAATAACTTATTACGTTTGTATGTAAGATTTACTAACAATGATAAGACCAGAGATTTTCCTTATTGGTTATATACTCGATGTTTGATACTCAAGATATTGCATAGCTTACACTCATAACATCCAACAAAATAATGACATATTATTATTTATAAAAATGTTTACTGCAACCTGCAGTAAACATTTTTATTTTCTTGATAGATATTATGAATCCTATTATTTAAATATCTTTTGCCCTTCATAATTGTAAGTTATGTCCAAGAGTTGGAAAAATTCAAAATACAAAATATATCGCGTACATGTGACTTAATCTCAAAATTAATTAATTCATCAGGAATGTGGTTTAGAACCATCTGAAGCATATGTAACGTGCAACGTCGACGAGTCGTACACCGATCCATGTTCTCACTTGTTTATTTTAGCCAATAAAGTGTTTCATTTACAGTATTGTTTATACAACAGCTGCATTCAGAATGTACTATGTATAGTGATTCTGAATGCAGCTGTGTTATAAGGACAACAAGGATCAATTTGGGTTTGTGCAACACACACACATACACACACACACAAATATGAACTATTTTGGTTTGTGTAACTATTCTTGAAAGTCAGCGATTTGTTTATTAGCTAGTCGAATCCATGGAACCTGGAACATGGAACATGTAAAGTGTACGAAACGTTGATTTGTTGGAAAGCAGTAATCGTGAAAACCTAAGAACTTGATATATCTATATGTTAAAACGTCGACAATTTAAAGGTAAAAAGGGCTAAACCGCTAAACTTCTAACTAAAAACTAGTAAAATTTTTTTCACAACATTTACTGGCGCTGAACCTTGTATATGGAAGATATAATAGTAAACGAAATACAGAAAAAATTATAATTATACCATGACTGTAGCAAGTCAGTTATGTTTGTCCAAATAACATTGCGTATAATGACGAAAACAAGTCATGTGACATGCTTGCTTCTAGTGACTGAGTGTGGGTATGATCTCTTTATCTCCTATTTGACTACTGTCTTATCCAAAATCGTAATTATGATAAGGATTCATAACTTTATGAAATTTTAGAAATAGCACACACATTCCACTATAACTGTTAGTTACATTTTTAAACTGAATTTGTAAGCTATGTTTTTTACAACAAAGTAACAACGCGACAACGTAATAACTCATAGCTCCGCACTAGGGAAACCCTGTATCGCGGGTGCCATGGACACACACATAGGTACACAACCACAACTTACACCCAAAGTCATGAGAGAAATAAAATGTAGTCCATACAAATGTTTGAAATTCGAAGATTTGCATGGCAGTCCAGCATGGTAACTGTTCGATCACGTAGGCAGTTAACATGTACGTGGCAATTACAAATTTTACAAACAATTTTGTGTGGTCTATTGTAGATGTCCAAAGCAAATTAGGTTATTCAGATGATTTAAATAGATAATATGTTTGCCATACCTACCATACAATGGTTTACAACCGAGCATCCAATCTGAGAGCAAGAAAATTATAAGAAAATGCGAAAAACCTATAAAATGAAAAACCTATACTAATTGGAAATGAAACTATTTTTCCGGATTTAAATCGCGTACATTTGTTTTTTCAAACAAACCGAAGTTTCGGGCCCTTTACAGGTCCCATGGTCACGGTTGACTGAGTTGGTACAGTCTTCAACCAGTTATGTCTAATATTGATGCAAACCACCCTATTTTTTCACTATAGTTACAATAGTTATTAATTAAATACCTTATTTTAATTATACAAAGAAAACATTCCAATTTACGCTACATTAAGTTTTACAAATTATTTTATTAAATGAATTTTTATTAAGTTCAATTTATTATTAATTATTAATAGAAATTAGAATAAACTAAAACATATTAATTAGTACTACAAATATACGCGATTTAAATCCGGAAAAATAGTTTCATTTCCTATGTGTAACAATCGCGAAAACCTAAGAACTCGATCTTTACTAATTGCTTTCTTAAATTGTATCTTCTTGTAAAATAGACTCAAAACTTCCTTTTATTATTTATTACCATTGTTATGATTACAATAATACAATAATACTGTTTCGAAACCAAAAAATATTAATGCCGTACAGACAGCAGCATATCAAGCTATTGACGTGCAGTTGACTGTACTTAACGATAAATAATATAAACTGTCAGGTTTACTTAAAAGATAAATTAAATGTTTTGTAAATCTAGTAGCAGTAAAGCTCCATGTGAAAGAGTTCGTCCAGGGAAATACTGCCAAATTATCTATGTGATATTATAAAAAAAGCAATTCAATACACATCTCATTATAAATAAATATACTTTTCGTTTCTTTTGTCTTTCTTTTTAATCATCGTTATCATCATATCAGCCGGAAGACGTGCACTGCTGAACATAGGCCACCCCCAAAGATTGCCAGACTAGCTGGTCGGACGCATCGTGCATCCATCGGTTACCCGCCGCCCTTACCAGGTCATTTTAGTGAAAGACTATAATAGTAATATAATTGTAGTAAATAATAATGCTGTTTCAAACTCACCTGTGTTAGTAGGTTGTGGCTTGTCTATTATATAAAACTTGTAGCCACCAGGTGCTTCACAGAATTTGTTGCCATTTTCCTCCTTAACTGGCCAGTTCATTGCTGCAGCCCGTCTTAGACATTCACTAGATTGTATGGTGAGGCCAAGAAAATCATTGCCCTGTTCATATTCTGTGACACCATAGTTGTATGTGAGCTCTACTACAAAATGTGTGTCTTCTGGACCATAGCCTACCATGGTCTTGCTCCATCTGTTTGCATATGGTCTGTAAACAATACGTTTTTAAATCTTATAATTAAGTATGTACAGAATTGGTAAGTTTTATAAACTAAGTGAAACAAAATATAATAATAATAATAATCCACATACTCATAATCTCGCACTAGGAAAACCCTGTATCGCGGGTGCCATGGACAGACACATAGATAACCACAAATTACACCCAAATTCACGAAAGAAATAAATGTAGGCCACACAAATAATTATCCCGGCCAGGGAATCGAACCCGGGACCCCTGAGTGGCAGACCAGTATGGTGACCATTCGGCCACTGAAACAGTTAAAAAACATAGTTGTATTAAATGATACAATGATGACATTTTTACTGTGAGTTTGAAAGTTGTAAAAGGTTTCATTTAGTTAGTAAATAGCGTTGAAGTGTGAATACTTTAGAAGTAGTTAAACATTTCGAATGACTCACCCATTGCAGGTAGCTTCACAGCCTTCACTGAATTCTTCATGTCTCAGTACCTGACATAATAAGACCAAGTAAAATATTTCATAGTATGTAAAATGATATACATAAAGTGTCAAAAATAGTTATAATTACACTTTTGTTCAGTCTTTTAGCTCTTATTAGACCTAAAAAGTATATACTTTTTTGGTCTAATACAAAAATTGTAAATTTTGAGGGCATAAATATTCAAACTTAAAATGAACAAGAAAAGCTAGAGGCGAATAAGTTTTTATAGTAGCATATAGTCACATTATCTTTTTTATATACTCTTTACAATGTTTCTCAAAAGTACTTTGAAATACATTTAATACTATAAGAGCAATAAGAATTATAATGTATTATTACATACAATTAGAACTTTCAAGATGACTGAAGGTTAAAAAACATACATCATACTTGAAAAGAATAATTGCGTGATTATTGAGTACAGGGTCTTATATTGTAAGGTGCCTTATTTAGTGACAAATATGACTGATTACTGATAAATTGTTATTGAAAAATAAGTGGAATAATATATTTTTGTCATACCTTTGTAGAAGGTGAATAATATTACTAAATTTTGTTGGTAGGCTACTGTTGTTTCCAGCAGAATTTTCAATAAAATATTTTCTGTTAATTAGCATTAGCAGTGCCTTTGTATTGAGATTTTGGAATAATTATTATAAAGATATTTTGGTTCTGTACAGTATTGGAAATATATTGATAATAAATTATTCATAAGGTTTTAACATTTTAATGAAATGGCTCCAATAATTGCTAATTAACATGTCTATCTAATAAATCAAAAGATACTGTAACGTAATTGTGACAAGGTAATACTAGGGCCACGCAAATCTCATTTATCTTATATGTTGTAACAATTTTTGTGATAAGGAAAATGTTTTTTGCTTCTCATGAAAAAATGTATTTTATCCTTTATGTCAATTTAGTCCAATGTTGCAATGTTTATAGTCACATTTTTTAATGTAATATTAGTGCAATTTGACATCCATCTCACCTGATGGAAAGTGACGATGAGGACAATGATGGATCATGCACACCTAAATAAAAAACTCTCACCTTGAAAAGGCCTAAATTATAATGTTCAGGGAGTAAATCTGAAGGCATTCAATTCCACTTCATAGCCGTTCCACATAAATGTGGAAGCATAACTATTTATTTGAATCCTTGAAAATTTACAATATAGGGTTGGATCCCTGTCTAGTCCACTGGTGATGGAAAGGGGAAGGGACATATTAATCCATAAATTTTAATTGAATACAAAAAATCCAAGTCTTATTGGAATAAGACTACTGGCATACTTTTATAAAATGCACACAACAAAAACCAAATAGATAATTTAATAGGTTCCTACAATGTTTCAAGTATCTTCTTATTTTCGATCTTGATGACAGAAATATTACTACACTAAGTTTCGTGCTATTCTTACCAAGGCATTTTAACAGGTATCCGATCCCTGGCCTCACATATTAGGAACAAAAATGCGTAGGTATTAAGACACATGGGCTAGGAACCCTGTTATTAGATAATTAACACAGTGTAATAAGAACTAAATTGTAATTGTTTGTAACGTACAAAATCGTAAAGTTACAAGTCGATGTGTCACGTAATTAGTTCCAGCTTCAAATTAGTCGGTTGACGGTAAAAATGACCTTGGGGCTCCCCAGATCGATTTGTTTCGTTCAACATTGAAAGAGGTTCACGATATGTAGACATATCTTTCAAAATGTTAAGTGTAATTAATTTAAGATTTTATAAATAATAATTAAATAAAATTGTAATGAAGAGTAGCTTTTACCTTCATTCCAAGGATGTCTCTGTAGAATTTGGCTGTAAGGGACCTATCGGAAACTTTGAATACGAAATGCAACGCACGTCCGGTAATCATTTTGTAAATTTTGCTTTAAAATGTAAAAAGATATATAATTTAATACGAGATGGAGTAGTGACGTATAGAACGTGGTATATCACCGCGTATTCGTAAGAAACAAATAACTTTTGCAACGCACTCGAGTTCACTCACAACTTCTCACAACTGCTCACAACCGCAACGTAATAATGACAATGACAGATTATCTAATTTTTTTTTCTTCTTTCCATAAAGGAAAAGGCAAAGGTTTTACACCATACAGCCAAATCTTGGTACATTATTAAGTCTTTTGAGCCATGTCCTCGTTTAATTATGTTTCTGTAAATATGGCCGCCACGAAGGGGATAGGCAGTTTGAGGCGGCGTGCTTGGATTGGTTCGGGATTCCTTAGAACGGGCAGATACGGGTATTTTAGTTTGAGATTTGTATAATTTCGCGTTTTAATCTTCGACACAATAGCACTATCCTATTCCACTTTAATCTAGATTTCACAAAATAATTGAAAGTCAAAATAAAAACGACACTTTTCCCTCCAAAAGGCCCAGAGCGAATCCAGATTATCTAAAGTGGTTTTGTTTTGTGATGACTGACAGCTGACACAGAGCCAGTTTACGTGGCTTGATAGTCGATAACGTTAACTTAATAATTTTTAGTTGATTTTGTACAACAGTTATTGAGTGGACCGTTAACTTTTAGTTGTTTTAATTTCATTTGAAGCAGGTATTCTTAAGTTATATAGATAAACTTATACGATAAGGAGAAGCCCTTAAAACATATTTAATAAACAAAACGTTCACGTTTTCTTCAAACAATATCGCAAACGATCAAATAAACCATCAAACAAGTTTGACAAACTTGCATGTAGTTCGCACGTCTCGATCAAGTCTTTCTACAAGCGTATCTACCGTATTATAGTTACATCTCTTCGTAATTTGTGTAATGAGTTGGCGCCCAGTTACACGAGGAGCAAAGTATTCGCGCGGCCGCCGTACGGCGACCGCCCAGTTACCACGCCTTCTTGTACGTACATTAATGTCGAATCTGAATTCTATTCAGCAACAACATTTAAATTCCTCTCCATAAAATTACCGCGCGGCCACCGCCCGGCCGCTGCGCAGTCGTTGCGCAGGCCGCAGCGTTGACCAAATTCAAGCCAGGCTAGCCCGCGTGTCCGGAACGCTCATTTAAATTAAAACGTAAGAGCTAAACAAATAGAGCGTATTTTGCCATGATAGTTGTCTAACTGTCTTGGCAAAATACGTTCTATTTGTTACGCCGCGCAGCGCGGACTCCGCTCTACTACGCGCGGACTCAGCGCGGTGTGAGCGCGATGAAATTCGTATCGAATAAATGCGCCCTAAGAATAATAGATACAGCGTTTCTGGCATTATAACTCTAACACTGTCTATGAAAAAAAAGAAATATACGGTAGTATTATAGAATGGTTGAAATTAAAAGAAAGAAATGTCCACGAAAATTTGTTAAAAGAAAAATTGCGCATAAAACTGAACGTATGCGTTAGCATCTAATAGTCTCTTGTCAAACACGCCGTCAATTTAGATCTTAGATGATGGAAAAAAATAAAATTTAGATTTCCATCAAACACTATTTTTGACAAACGCATAAAACACGACCGCAGATGCTCAAAAAGTTTGACAAACACGTAAAATTTGACAAAGTATTATGTGATCGTTTACGGGGCGCTTTACGTTGCAGCTTAGCTTTGCGTGGGTCATTTCATCATTATTTCCGTCTCTAGAATTTTTGTGCTTAAAAATTAAATAGATTTGCTAATAGCACGAACTAGGTACTTAACTAATAGTTTCTAAATGAATGAAAGTTGCGATCATAACCGATCCTCATTTCATCTCACAAAAAACATCAATAAATAGGTAGATATTCTAAAGCCCGCTCCACATTCTTGCCAAAACTTCACGAGAACAGCCCAATGCGATATGTTGTGACGATATTCGTTGTCTCGCCTATGTGCATGTGGTCTCCACTCCGTGTCGGTGTTTCGGACTCGAATCAAAGGGCTCTCGTGTGGTTTTGTGTTTGCGTGCGACCCTTTCCTCCACATTCCTGTCACGGCAGTCCGCCGGCAGTAACCACAGTGTTCTGTTGCGATGTATTGATGTTATCAACCATCTGCGTCTATCCTAACGTCTCTTATTAAGCTTTTTTTCTCGAATTAACAAAATATTGTAATATGCTATAGCACATATTGCTACCGTAACAGATGTATCTAACACGTCCACCTTGTATGATTACCGAACGGATAACTGTGCGGGCGAGAATGTGGAGAGCCACTCTCGGTCTCGTCCTGTCTCGGCGAGACCCGACACCGGGATGTCACGACGAGAATGTAGAGTGCGCTTAAGTCGATAAATACAAACATTTAGACGAGGCATGTCGATTTCCTAGCGAAGCGCACCGTTCATTACATTGTCCGGAAAACGGAATTACAGAACACGCAAAGGTCTGATGTAGGTACATTGGCGGAACGGTATGACAAGGGATCCTTCGGCATTCATAAGCAAACGCACTCTGATGGTCATTAGGTCGCGATATCATGCTCGTGCCAAGCCTCTCTCTAGATCTAGATCTCTTCAGATTTATTACCCGGTTAAGAATGATAGTCTTCTTGAAGGAGAAGAAGAGAACTATGTTCCAAGGAGGAGAAAAAGATTTTGGGTGAATAATAGAGTTGAAACGGATAGTGATTACGGGATACCGAATATCCGGTGAGCACCTAGGCCGGATAGCCGGATATCCGGCCGCCGGATATCTGTCCCGTTTACTGCCGTAAACATGTTGCGAATGGCTTAAAGCGCGCATCGTCGTGACTGATTGATTAGATAATGATTGCACTTTCACATTGACGATTTGATTTGTTGTGGTAATTTATTCGTAAATACAAACAAATACGAGAAAAATGTTACCAGTGAAAAGAAAAACGCAAATTTGCCAATATTTTAATATCAATTATGTTTGTTTGTTGTGCCGAATGCAAATCTCTCGCAGTGGAAAAGAAAAAAGCAATTACATCATTCTTTGACTATATTAAAATTTCTAGTTTGTATATGTTATTATTTTGTTTCAATTTATTTCATTAATTTGTTTGTGCTCTAACTAATTCTAATCCTTGATACCAAATTTGCCAAAAACGTCTACATACACGTTTTATTATTGTAGGTACACATTGTATTTGAAGACAATTCAAATCGATCGTGATCGCGATCCTCTCATTTGGTCGTCTGGCAACAACAATTGTTAATAACAAAGTTTTCAAGCGTTTATAGTAAAAAACTGTCCTCTGAAGCTGGTCTCGTTTATGAAAATAAATAGAACCCACTTTTACCACTTAATGCAGAAAAACTGGTCTTCATCCACCGTCATTTGCTTTTATCGGAAGAGTACTAAATTTACAGATAACGTTATTTAACGTCATAGTTCTTTCAGTTATAAGTAATAAACAATTTGTCAACGATCCTGTATTTGATGTTTATCCTATTATTATCATCTTTAATCAATAAATAAATTTATTTGGCGTACTGATTATGATTTTTCTCAGTTTTAAACAACCGGTATCTGGCTAGATATTGTTCTAAAATCCGGATAGTTACCGGATATACGTTTCATCTCTAGTGAATAACATTCGGAAGCTTGCCGAAGTATTCATAAGGCTGCCGAGGCATTTCGGAAGCTGCCGACTATACATGAGCTTAGTACCGCAGCTTTGCTTTTGTAGCTACGACCATTATAAATGAATTGATTTTTACACAATGTCACAACATTAAGGTATGTAAGTATATTACTATTCGTCACCTAAAATTTCGCAGGCCCCTGTCAGTGTGCGCCGAGCCTAAAGAGTTCCAATCATATCAAAACGTAGAAACAAATAAATTGTACGAATTTACAAACATAAGGCTATAAAAAGAGACAGAATCCTATTTCAACTTATGCATTGCAATCACGGCCTAATAGCATCCAGGAAGCTTATGAAGTCAAGCTAAGAAGTCTATGAAGTACCTACTGCTGACACTGTGAAGTACAGATGGCTCAATACCAACTGGTCACCTTGGCTTCAGTAGAAAAGCGTGCCAAGAGGCTTATAGGTGATTCGGATTTAGTAGAGGTGAAACTGTAGAGACGGTGTAAAGTTGCCTCCTCATCGGTATTCTACAGAATATATCACGGAGAACGTGCGATGGAATTGCGCGATTTAATTCCTCCTTCACGCTTCCATCACCGGGGACTGGGCTTCCACCCCTATATTGTGGATATTCCAAAGATTCGCACGCTTCCATATCTATGTGGTGAACGGTCATGGATAGAGTGGAATTCAAATATTTGAGCGTTTAACAAGTTTTAGCAAAAACATTTAATTTTCTAAATAAAAGAGTTAAATAATTAAAAAATATAATTTTGGGTTGCTTTTCACGTCTCTATTTTCTTTTCCATTCTTTAATATTTGCAGTCCACCTGAATTTAAGGCCGTTTTTAAGAATTAACTCTTATACTTACATAGGTATACCTAACGAAATGTAAGTATCAAGTTCTGTTTACTAACAACCACATAAATCTAAATAAATAATTAGATTTCTGTGCTAACACCGTACAACTTACAACTGTACAACTTAATTAAACTCGGTGGAACTATGTGATTTGTTTTTGCGGCTAACTTAGCTTAGATATATTTACCGTATTAACAAGTTATTAACGTATACTTTTATCTACTATCGCACTTGGATCTCTATCACAGAATGCCTACGTATTTTTAATGCAGATTTTGTTATAGTGGCACAGGTATTGAAATAAAAGTTATCTTGAGTTTGGAAAGTAGCGAATGAAGAACTTTGATTTGTTTATATGTATATGGTACATAATTATGTACATGGTTTGTCTTGCAATCCTCGCCGTTATATAATTTCCTTTTGAAGTGGTATTAAGTAAAAAAAATAGAAAACGCAAATTTTTTGTCAGTATGTCTTGTCACTTAATCATGGAGATATTACGCTGGCTTTCCACGGCCCGTGATTTCAAAGGCGGCGTCGATTTGTAGGATTGTGCTCGCGTCACAGACCCATACATGCGAGTCTGCCCGGAAGGGGCAGCACTCTTCCTACGGCGCGTTGACGCGTACTCGCGCGGCGCAGCCTGTGAAAACACGGGCCGTGGGAAGCCACCATTATAATATAATATGGACACTGTGTGGAATTATTAGTTGTGCGTGTATCTGTCCTTGCAATTTAGTACGTGTAAATGGATGGGATACGGAGATTAGGGTTGAGGATACTAGATTTTGTCTTATTACCTAAAACAATTTAATCAAAATCCATTATTCAATCATCCACATAAAAACTACATATAATTTCATACAGAAATACGGTTAAATATATTTTCCCTTAAATCTAAACTACACTCGTAATTTCGTGGGTAGCTATTTTTTTTTTATATTTTTACGTAATATGCATAAATAACCTTAGGTATATAAATCTTATATTTACGTCTCTATTGTTTCTACTACTCAGTAAATATTAATTTTTGATCTCATTTATTTGATTATATTTCTTCAGGTATGCCGTTTGTCAGGATATGATTCGGTGGGCACATTTCTGGTAGATTTGTACTTCAGTACTTGCGCGCCCTGTGTACGAGTATGATGGTCAAATTTGACAATTACAATATTTCATAAATTACCATAACAAATGATAAATGTTATACGAAAAAGATTACATTGTATGATTTATGTAGGTACGAGTACTTGACAAGTAACGAAGAAATAGCACAGCAAGATTCTGGATATATGTATATTAACACTTCACCTACTTTGAGATCAAGTCATAGATATTAATGCATTTCATGCAAATAACGTATTGCATAATTAGATATTTGTAAATTACGTAAACGAATAACACTTGATTAAATATATTCAACATTTAAAAGCAGTTCTTTCTTTTATAACAGAGGTTCTAGAATGTTACAATTTATTGTTTGTTGAATTTGGTCGCGTAAATTTCCTACAACTGAACTTTATCTAATTAAACCAACATTTAGATAAATAATGTTCTGTACATACATTTTAAACATAAAAGGAATATGTGACTATAGACACCTTAACAATTGACTAAGATACCTGTTGCATACAATGTGTTTATTTTTGTTTACAGTATGCCAAACAAAAAGCTATGATGATCAAAATTAAAATTAACATTAATATGTTTAAAATTGTCTTAAAAATATTCTACTTCTTGTATCCATATGAAAATACATCACTAACATACAATTAAAAAGCTTTAAAAAAATAAATGCCTAGTTTTTGTTTTGTAGCATAATCTACTGGACAGCCAGCTTGATGAAATGATTAATATGACACTAAATAAATCATTAATTTCCACCAAATTACTTACGTTAATGAATGTTTTCGTACTTTGTAGAATATTAAGATACATGAAAATAAAGCGCTAAGGAAAAGTGAATACATAAAACACATTTATTACAATAATATCAAGGTTGAGAACTTCACGCTACCAAGTGGCGAGATTAAAACAAATGAATCTCTTATTTCGATTCCACAAATGCCGTACTAAGTGCATTTGCAGGTAGGCAGCGAAATTCAAAGCCTCGAGACTACGGATACACGCTTTACTTGTTTACGTTAGTCGAGTGAAAAGAAGTTGGTTAACAATGTCGTGGCGTATCGTCGTGTTCAGTTGGGCTTTTCCTTTTCGGTGTCTTTATCTTTATCTTTTTCCTTCTCTTTGTCCTTCTTTTCTTGCATTTGTTGCAGATGTGCCGGTAGAGCCTTTAGTATCGCATGTACCTGGAAAATCGAATTTGTTTCAATACTTTTATGTCTTGATATTAGCAAGTTCAAGTGTGAACACTGTCATTGATTTTAAATAGAAATTTAGATAAAAATACAGAGTATACTACAGACTTTTAACATATAAAATGAATATGTTAGGTATCTCTCCGTACCTCTTCAGCAACGGCCATGAGTACGAATTCGAACTGCTGTTTGGTGGCAACAGTGCGAACGCGCTGGTCGCGGATGTGCTCGAGTGTGGCGGCGATGTCGATCTCTTTTGCACCCTTTGCCATGCGGTTCAACACCATGTCAATCAGGCAGTACGTGCCCGTGCGGCCAGCTCCGTCACTGTGATCCAAAATTTATTCAAACATAACAGTAAGTAGATGTCAAAAAAGTGCATGTTGAACTCTTAGAGGGTGGAAGTTGGACTGGCCCTAAGCAATCGACTTTTGTAGGGAAATTGAATTGTTAACATAATTAATTGTAATCTAGGATCAGCGAATCGAGATGAGATCGATAACCCCTTTTAGTCGATTTTTTATATTTTATTTAATTTGCAAAATCAGCATAATTGATATTTTTACTAGCAAATGAAAAATTTACTGAAATGCAAATGCATTAGTTATGACAAGGTATTGCGAAAGTGGAAAATTTTCTTGACATATAAGTAGTAGTAGGTATAATAAAGTCGGCTTCCCTCGGCCTGTGAACGGCGCGTTGGCGCAACCGCAAGCTCGGTTGAGCTGCTGCGCGTTAAGTGAGCTGTTGCGTTAAGCTGTCTTCACAGCTTCACGCAATTTAAATGAGAAGTATACCATAGACTTGTTATATTGGGTGAACGACTTATTATGTTCGTGTATGAACTTTCCATCCTCTAAGGTGCCCGAACGAATCCATAGAGAACAACGCTAAAATTCAATTACACTAAACATGTGATATTAATTGATTTATTAACACAACACAGTCTATAATATTAGTAGAAACTGATGGAAGTCTTACCTGCAGTGGACAACGATAGGGCAAGATCTTCCTCTGTAGGACTTGTTTACTTTCCTGAGAAATAAATTATGTAAGTCTTAATTATTTTACTAAAAATACATACTAAAACATAACCTAACTGTAATTATATGTGTAGGTACTGACATTTCATGTAAAGTTTTTCATAGATGGGTTTACTTGGAAAAATAATATTTTACGATTTTCTGCCAAAATTAAATACTCTATACAAAATAGTGTAAAAAAGTCAAGCAAGTCACCACTATCTGTAAGATGGCGCTACGACCAAAAAGTCAAACCAAATACAAAGACACGACAACTAGCACATGGAGCAAATTCGTGAGGTCCGCTGGTTCGTTCCGTGGTTTAGTTGGTACAGCGTCTGGCACGGTATGCTAGAAGACGTCGGTTCGAATCCGGCCGGATCGAAGGATTTTTTCTGAGTGTTCGATCTTTGTATTAATAATTATAACAAACTGGTAGTTTGCAGAATATCCTAGTTACAATTTCAGATCAAGGTTACTATATTAATGCCCTAAAGTTAGGTATCGGATTTCCGTAGTACTTATATCAAACTTCAAGTCGATCAAAAAAGTTAAAATAAAATAAATGTTCATTTTATGACTGAGATCCCTACACTACCTAGGAAAGGAGTGATCTTTAAAGAGCTGATCATTTCATCAAACAAAGTTAGGAACAATTCCGATTAAACCAGCTCTTAAAAAAAACGCTTCGCGATAAAAAATTCCGTCCGTTTCGGTGCTACGATGCCATAGACAGGATACATCCAAAAACTTTGGATATACAACGTGTTAATGTTAATATTTGTTCTGAATTCACAACTGTCATGTACATTTGAACTCTTACATTTTTTTACTAAAAATTCGCATTTCACCTCCATCTCATGTTATGGAAAGAGACGATGAGGTCGACTATGGAGCGTGCACACCCAAATAATACCTATTCACTCTCGCCTTGATAAGGTCCAAGATAGCTGGATCTTCTATCGGTAGGTAATTTCACTCCACTGTCGTTCGCCATATAAATGTCGAAGCAAAACGCTGCGTGCCAAACTTTGGAATATCCACAACACATTGTTGAAAACTCAGCTGACGTCTAGTCCCCCAGATGATGGAATTAAATCGTGCAATTCCCTCACACACTCCATGTTATATGTGTATAACACACACCTACAACTAGGTAACTTTGCGGCAGTGTTTAATATACTCTCTTGATATATTACTTATAGATTTTATCGATGAAAATATATTTAGGGTACCTCCTGAACTCCAGCAAGGCCTTTGTAGAGGATGGCACTCCGTTCTCTGGCCAGGAGAGAAAATGGAACTGCGTGACCGTGCGAGTCTCTCCGGTGCATTGATTCTTTAAATAGAAGCTGCGGACGAGGTAGTCGTCGCACCAGATGTGTTCACTTACTAGGTGCACCTGAAAACATAAGACAAATATTGGTACTACGTGTCTTGTTAAAGTTTACTGACAGAAAATTAAAATGATATGAAAACTTAAAATGCTGTGAAAGTTATAGTCGTACCTCGTAGATATGATAGAGTTCAGAACCCTCCTCCGGCCAATACCGATGGCAAAGCTGATTACCATTCTCCGTAAGCCTTGTGAGCATAACCATGACGACGCTTCCTTGCTCCCATACCATTTGCCAGAAGTCGGGCGCGGTGTGCGCCAGAGGACCCGCTGCGGCGATATAGGCAGGGTTGCGAGGATCATGATCGGTCTGTATATAAATATCATTGATTTTCAGAAGGTTCTAAGTTTTCGAACTTTTAATACGGTATCAAGTTCATCTCTTTTTATACGGTTAGTAATTTTAGTGGAGAAAATTTATAGGGTAGTATAAAGGGTTTACAAACTTACAATAGTAGAAGCGTTGATATAATCAGACCCAAGATGGTTGGAAAGAGTGTTCAGTGTGACCCTGGAGTGATCATAGGGCAGCACTTCAGGGTATCTATTTTTGCCCGTATTCTCCGGTTTCAGGGCTGCTACGGTCGCACAGGGTTCCGCTTCATATGCGCATAGAGCTCGCCATTCTTGCTCAAGGCGATCCTTGTTGCGGAGATGGTCTTCCATGTAAGCCTGGTGAAGAGAAACAAATTTGTTTCAAACCAAACATTCCTCTGCCTGCTACTTAATATTTTTCTGATCAAATAGTTAAGTACTTACAAGGACCATATGTCCAGTAGAGATGTCCATATTGGTCAATGTTGGTTCTTCGCTCCTAAAAGCAAAATGATTGCGATATGAGAAGAGATCGGACAGTTTTCTAAGTCCAAAAGAATTAATTAATTACCACGACGAAGTGCTAGATCTGGTGGAAGGTGAGTTGCCATCAGGTTCACGAGACAGCGAGGTGATACGTTGGGGAGCATCTGAGGAATGAGGTGCTGCAGCCGTCTGTTGCCCGGTCCACTTGCCTGACATACGGGCCCGGCACAACTCCTGGAATATAGATGCTAGTTATTTGTCAGAACGCATTTTCCCGTACTTGTAAGAGGCTATGCAAAAATCACGTTTGAAACTGTTACTGCTTCGATTGGGTTGCTACCTGGTAATCTCTGGTTGCTTCTGCGTCTATTTCGGTAGCCGTGGAGAGCCCTTGCATCTTCCTCCTGGCGTTCAAATCTCTCTTCAGAAGTATCGCGAAGACCACCGCACCCACTATCAGCACAGAAAGACTACCCACCAGGGCTAGCACTACTGGCATATCCAGACCCCAGATAAGACCTTCAGTTGAATCTGAGTGGCGAATTACTGGGCGCTTGCTCTGCAATATTTAAAGTAGTTGTTCTGCATAAACTTTGAAATAGTCCCTATTATACATATATACAGGTTATTTTAAGGTTACAAAAGATGTAAATGAATGTACAAGAAATAAAAGATTTACATTTACCCGATCACCCACGCCAGTTTGTATAACTTGTGCACCAGTTACGAGGCGCAAATCGTCTTTGATCTCATCTGAAAATTTTACAGATTCAGTAGATTATAATGATAATATAATTCGCAACATTATATAAAGGAATCAATCGCAATAATCTCAATAAGTTATAATATTGTAAACGTAGCTTACCGACACGTGATGCTACATCCACGGCATCGTAATTTTTGCTATTTTTCTCAACTTTAAACGTAACTTCTCCGGGATCAACCCTTAAACAACCAATTCATTTTCAGAGAACAGTTATAATGAGACAATTTAATATTATTACTATGGAGAACTTGAAATTTACCGAGGATTCGTAAATGTGTTTTTCTCTAAGCCAAGCAGTTCTTCGATTTTTGCTATGAATGATATGCCTTTCTCCCAGTCCGTACCGAACCTATGGCAAAGCGACAAACAATCAATAACAATGAAAGCACACGACAGAGCGTACTCAACACATAGGCACTTTTGCTTCCATGACTTACCTATTCTTGAATAAAACATATGCGTAAGAAGGATCGTAGTCATATTCATTATGATCATGTCCACCGTTTATTAACTTTTGTGCCTTTGTATTTCCATGACCTGAAACAGTAAGATCAAAAGAATCTATTACAAGCCACCCATCTTATACCTAGATTCCGCATTATACGGAACACATAGTACATGCTTTTTTAAAGCAAGAATGTCATTTACAAAATGGATAATTTACACAAATTTCAGATTTTATACAATGAAACAATAATAAATTATTATGAACATTCAGATGTGATATTTAGTTTTCTATGAAAAATGAGTTTAAAATGCACGCAACTAACATTTAGATGTGATAAAGTAATAACACCAAGAGTGAAAAATAACGAAAGAGGTCACAACAGAGACATCATGAATGAATTGAATGAAAAAACATAACGGACGAAACACAACATTAAAGCGTATTAAATAAATACACGTATTCCTAAATCTCTATTTTACGGTCTAGGCCACGTAGGTCTCATGCTGATCGTGTTAAGGAAATTGTGCGAACGAGAGAAACATTTAGTGCGGTTTTCGACATGATATGTAAGTGCATTTAAGTTTAGGAAACAAATACAGTTTTAATTTTTATGCAGCATCATCATTATTATTTCCTAACGTAGGTACTCTTGTAGGGCACATCAACATCGATAAATCTAAACAGTAATCTCAGGCCGCTGTGACACTAACCTGTCACCGACTTATTCTGGTATATTAACTTTATTGTTTTCGCATCCAGGCGCGGCCCGGGCTTTTTAACATCATCTCTTTCCCTACGCATAAAGCCCCATTCGCTATTTAACAAATCTTGAAACTCTTCAGAAGACAATTTTGAATTTTCACCTGAAACATCGTCGGTATTTGAAACACCTTCATTAGGGTGCGCGTGCCGCTTCCGGGCTGAGCTGCTTGAGTACAAGGGGCCTAAGTGGAACAAAACAGGCATGACATAAAACAAATAATGACCAACTTAAACATAAAACTGAAAAAAATAAATTACTTTGAAATGTAACATATATTAGTCAGATTTGTCAATAGAATGCGTGATTTTTGCTGGCCTACTATGCAAACAAAGCCAGGAAGCAACATAAATCATCTTTTTACATGGTATTGATAGATTGCATTTTTTATTTTACTTACTCTGCAGATCATCAGCCTTCATAGGTCCTCCTTCTGCATACAATGCTCCTTGTGGTTTCAATTTAGAATCAATTATTTCACGCCAATAGTTCATTAAATATTCCATATTCTTAGAATGTTTTAGGTCCATCTTGTTTTTATCTGGAAAGGACGTTCACAATGAATATGAATAAATGAATTCGAAGATGGCAATAAAGCAAATTGTTTTTTATTCAACTTTTACCTTTCATTATATGATAAGGGTCTCGTTCACCACTACCGGAGTCAACAGGAAAATCGTCTAACCCATCTTCATCGATATATATTCTCGGTTCGGGCAACTCCCCAGGATTTTCGTATTCAAATGGAAAATTCTTCTCAGCAAAACTTTGCTTGTATTTTTCTAAAGCATTGAATCGAACTTCAGCATCAAGATCCGACAATCTATTGCTAGTGATGTACTCAGCTGTGTAAGGTGGGGGCCTAGTTTTGATCTTACGATAGTGTGCTCCCACGCGTTCTTCATCCAAATAGTCAGAGTTGGGACTGCCTTGCGTGAGTAGTTCAACATCAGGAAGAGATTTTTTTTCTTTATCTAATACAGCATCAGGTATTGTGTTGTCATTATCACCAGCTTTTACTTTTTCAGCTTGGATTCGCTCTCGAAACCCTTCAAAAGGTAAATTAACAGGCAGTTCTTCGTCAGCATGCATCAACAAATTTCTAACTTTGTCACTTGGCGTTTCGTCATCTGGAACTGCGTCTTCCTCAACAATGACCGGAACTGCTACAAAAAAGTTACAATCGATTAATGTAAAATGCTAAGATCCAAAATATAAACAGAATTGACTGATTGCACTTACCATTACCACCAGGTACTAGGTAAGTTGACATGGGATCGTCTGGAGGGCTGTAAACCTCATTTGCAAAGTCGGAGTCCGTTTGTGGGGAATTTGGCGTAAACCGTATATACGCCGTTTCGTCAGGTTCGGCCTAAATGTAAAGCGTTTGGTTATGCATACTGACTCACAATTCAAGGTATATAATTATGTAGAAAAACAGTTGCGTACTTACTTCAGTATTCTCGTTTTCATCGTCAAGTGGTATATTACTCAATTTTGGGTCAGCGAAATGGTCACATATCTTTGCATTGACCTTGGCTGGATCCCTGTAAAAAAGAAACTTTAGTGAAATGAATATCAAATGAAATAATTTATTGGTAACACTATCAGATACAAGTTACAAGTCACACTTTAAGATGTATGTATACGTAAACCACTACACCATACCCACACACAGCACCAACCATATACACAAAATAGCAGTATATAAATACCTAAGTATGTTAAATTCAGACTACTACTTAAACGAACAGAAATACAGACTATCTACTCGCAAATGTAACTTCTTATGTCACTCGTGGTCAGAATTAAACTTAGGGTTTTTATAGGTGTAGATTATTATACTCACAGGTCCTGCCTGAGTGTATAGAGCATGGCCTGAAGCACGCACTGCGTGTATGCATGCTCCCAGCGGTAGCCACGTTCTGCCAGCCGCTGCAACTCGCTCTCGAACCATTTCAGCTGCTCCGAGTTCATGTCATATCTGAACAATTATGATGACTTATGGTAATTAATCGAGAAAACCGTACATGACAGAAGGTTCTACGAAACGGATTTTTCTACAAATTTCAAACCTATTATGCACTGTTTTTTTACAATATAGAGACTAGAGTAGTTGCTCGTAATTTCAATTCTCGTGGGTATAATGTAAGCTTGCAAGATTCAAAGCTAATACATATTATAATAATACCTAGTTACCCTATGTATGGTCCCACTACTGAGCACAGGCCTCCCCTCACAATAGACTTTTATCATCGCCGTAAGTGATTCATGTAAGAGATCTATGAAACTTCTCACTCAGCCGATACCTTTACAGCTATCAGAGTCTGACGTGATGTGAGTCGCTGTAGTAATTGTGACAAGATTTTTATTGGATATACTTATTTTAGAAGATATTAATTTTGTTTTTTATAATGAAATTACTCCACTGCAGTTCATTTATACCTTGATAGCGCACGAACTTTTGGTCAATCAAATACCTGCTAACTTAACAATGAGAAATAAAGTGTAATTTACCGATAGAGATCACCTTCTTCAGCTTCCTCTTCAAAGATCGATATACATCTCCCGAAAGCGAAATCTGCGACAAGTGTTAATAAAAGCTACATAGTTATTTATTATAAATTACCTTTAAATACTTTGGAACTCACATCGTCAAATTATTATCTGTATAATATTTTCTAATATATAGGTTTTTTTATCTTAATCTGACCCCGAAATAAAAAATAAAAAACTTCAAGACGTAATGTATCATCTTAAAGAACAAAAATGAGAAAAGAAGATGACTCACCGTCGTAGCACCATTCTACTCCTTTAATGCACAGTGAAGAGCTAAATAAGCAACCTGTAAATAAAAACAAGACTCGAATAAACAAGTAAACAATAAACGTATAATAAATAAATAACCCGTAAACTTTAACGAGAGCCCTGAAAAAGTTTAGGCTTAATTTACATTGGAATAACATACAGCAAATTTTAGTACGGAGTTATATATTTCATTTTAATTTTTTTCGGTGGGTAGGTATTCCCAAAACTACGCGAGATTCTCCGGAAGACGCGCGATCTGTTTTTTGGGTGGCATCTAGTTTGTACGTTACACAATTGGCATAAAGTTTATTATGCTATGGTTACAAAAATTCACTTCCATTCCGTACCACGGAAATCTAAATTGAGCTTTAGTACTATCGACGTACGTTAGTTAGTACGTAGTACGTTATGTCTCAGATTCGATTCCCGGCTCAATTAATATAGAAATAAAACAAAATATAGTTGGGTCTGTTTTGGTTTAGTGTTCCCTTGTAGGAAGTTCTATAAAATTCTTTAAAGTTTTAACCTCCATGGCCGAACGATTACCATCCTGCTACGGGTGCGATTCTCGGTTTGGAAAAATATTTGTATGGCCCACATTTATTTATCTCGTGAGTTTGGGTGTAATTTGTGCTAGTCTATTTATGTGTCCATGGCACTCCGATAGGTACAGGGTTTCCCTAGTGCGAGGCTACGAGTGTGTGCAAAAAAAACTCTAAAGCTTGTATCCTTTAGCTGACCTAAGTAGGTACTAAACTACTAACCTATGTTACCATCGGCGTTCGAGGGCGCCAGCACACATAAAAGCGCCAGCGCCCATAGAGCCTGCCGCCATGAGAGACGGTACATCACATCTGGAATAGAAAGCAGCTAAGTATTAGGAATCTATGTTGTTCACTCTGACACGAGCCACTACCCCAGACGGCTTCTGGGACAATTGTTTGCCGGTAGTCTTCTCCGGTACAATAACGAAACGAACAACTTCCAAAAATAGTCACTCTTGTGTCAAATGGGAATATTTTTCCCAATGAAAAGAAAGAAAGAAAATTCTTTATTACACAAGCACGGACACGCATATTGGGAAGGCGATTATTGAGGGGAGTGTTGGGATGATTGTATATCAATAAAGAAAATAATGGTCACCACAATCGATCGTATATCAATAAAGAAAATAATTGTCATGTCATTTTTTATTAGTACTAGACATACTCGTATGCAGGTTGTAATCGTGAAGTGTGCTCAGGAGGTTATTCCGTAAGTACACGAGGTAAAATTTTAACGTACCCACATATTGATTATAAAAATCGTAGAGAGGCTTCAGTCTCGAATAATAGCTGAACACAAAATGTTGTACTTACTTAAAGATAAACATCACTTTGTTTATATTCAATTAAAAGATAGTTTTATTACTTTATTTACAGCAGTTTCGTTATATGTAAACTAATTGTGACCTCGTAAATTGGATCAACTAAAGCCCCTCTACGAATGTCATGTTAAATATATAGGTGATGTATGGGACAGGTTAACGTTAAAATTTTGGATATTTCTGATTTTAGTTTTAAAAAGTTATTGATGTCATTTTACTCATTAGGTACCGTACTTTCGATTGTTAGTTAGTATGAAGGTTTTTGATATCTCTTATATTTACGAAATATTCGCCTAGGCTCACTTAAACCAATACATCCTGTATAGAACTATTAGTCCAGTTATATCACACGTTAATCCTAGTATAGACACTAGACTTTCACAAACGAAATTATATTCAAGAACATGTGAGGACCATAGGTATCAGTAGCGAGGCGTCCGTATAACTCGCTTTCCACCGGCTTTTCTAAAATTTTCCACGTTTTAGTAGTCATTCATTAAATTTTGTGCTCAATTTTATGTGTTAATATAAGCAGTGAAATGAAGTGTTCTGGTATCTTGTGTGCTAATAAATGTTCGCTTAAGTGTCACTCAGGCGCCACTTTTTGTTAAGGTCTAGGTTTTTTGTTTGGCTCCGGCTTTACTAACGACAATTTTCACGTCTCGCCACTGATAGGTATATGTAAGTATAAAGTTTTGTTTTCATTCATTTTCAAAATATTTTGATAATTAATTATCAGTTGTATCTCCTTTTTACTGTCCATTACCCGAGTATGAAAAAACACTATTGTAAAACGTAAACAAAGCCTTCAACCTAGGAAATCAATATGGGTAAATGCTACCAAACTGCTACGGAATCTTGTAGTACGTACCTATCTGTAAAAATGTTGTATCTACATTTATATTTCTCAGTTACTCATGTAATTATATATAATATCTATATCCTTATATAATATATATATAGCTACCCACTAATCTTATTTGCTTACGTACTTGAGAACTGATTCAAATTGAATATAGCAAACGTTTAAGGGGTTCTTATCCATCCTAAACACATTAGCGTAAAAACTTGAAAAACTGTATATCGCTTTTGACGTGAATATTCGGGCTGTCTTTTGTTGATGTCTCCATCAACGGCAAAGCTCGCCCTAGGATAATCGCTGAGTGTGCTACTGCGGAAACGCTAAAGCAATTTTCGTACTAGGCTTGGGCTTATACTCGAGATAGTAATCAATCATCTGAAGAAAACCCTCAATAAAACCGATAGATCCTGCAAAAGGGCTATGCGGAAAGCTCGCTTCGATCGTAATGGTCGTATTGGAGCCAGATTAGCTAATTACGGAAGTAAAGCGATCTGATCACTAGCTAAATCCGTTAAGGCTAATTTCTGCAGGCCAAAGCGAATCTTTTTATTCCTCTTTTTGTTTGCAACTCCCGCCCTGACGCTACATTGCAAAAAACACCAATACTATATCGCTGTGACTATTAATATGTCATCCCCTACTTTGCCACCCTTAGAGATAGAATATTTTCTTCAAATTTAAATACTGAGATGCCCTCTTCCCAACAAAAAAGAATCATCAAAATCAGTTCAAAAAAATTATCACGTAACATACATAAAAAAAACATACTGTCGAATTGAGAACCTCCTCCTTTTTTTGAAGTCGGTTAAAAGAGATGTTAAAAACATTATGCAAATTAGACGCTAACAAAACCCGCGGTCCCGAACTGTGCGCCCGAGTTGTCTTATTACAGCACTTCTCTGAAGCACTAAAGTATTTCCCTCCTTTATGAAAATAGATCCTATGGAAGAATGCCCGTATCTCCGTAGCATTACCATATTACTCTATTGTAGAAGTAGTAAATAATTTATATATATAATATTTAAGTTAATTATTTAAAAGACATATTTCCTCATAACTGCGAGTAAAGCCAAGTAATGTTGTCATATTGTAGTGTTTTCTTACGTAAGTACTCAGATGTAAATAACAATATTTCGGCGGCGTATGTAATTAATGATCGACACAATGTCGAGCCCTGCAAAATGTGCGAAAATTGTTACCAAATTTCGCAGTAACCTCGTTCGGCCCACCTAACTTGTGTATATTAGACTCGACTGTGCGAGGGCGTGAAAAATAATGTAGACATTCTGGGAATCTCACAACCCCGCCTTGTGCTTTGTTAAGAAACCATTGTGCCTTTGGGCAGGCAAAACTGAAAATTTAAATTAAATATTTGCCTTGCAAAATTACTTTGAAGTTTCTACTTGACATTCAGTAGCTTAATGGAACTCAGTTTTTAGAATTAATGTTATATTAACTATTCAGTTCATCATACAATTAACTATAGTTAAAAATAAAGAATGGTTAAAAAAATCCCAAAAATTCCCCAAAGATTTCAAGTATATGGTAGAAAAAGAAGAAAACAGTTATAAATGTAGTTATAAGAAACATTAATTTTAGACAAAATCTCTTGATAAAGCTGTAAAAAAGAGAAATGATGATAATTTGTTGTAGATAACAAGATTTTCAATTTCTTCTGAATTTATTGTTTTTTTTTCTTTGCTCCTTATGTTTGTTACAGTTGACACAAATTGCTGGCAAGTATATCCAATTATCCATATATCCTTTAAACTTTAACCGGTAACAAGACCTACATGTATATAGAGGTACTTTTAAAATATAAATGAGCCAAAGACGAAACCATAAATCATTTGACGGCATTCCAATCCAATTTGTAAAAAGTAATATTAAATAACGTAAAGGAAAGATACAGCCAAAAATGTTTCCTTGCCTAATATTATTTTTTAGTTTTACTTACATAATTTCTACTGATCCTAAAAACAGGAAGCTAAAAGAAATTAAATTCTACACGGTTAACCGTTTTTTGTTGTAAGTTATACGTGAACAGAAGTTTGTGATTGACAGCTACAAAATACGCGAATCAAAGTAAATCTTCGTGACAATTAGTTTTACTATTTAATTGTTAGCAGTAGAGCTCCTTGTAAAAGGGTTTCTCCATGGAAGTACTGCCACCTTACCTATTTCTGTCGCCACGCAGTAATGTGAGCATTACTGCGTTGTTCCTGTTTTCAAGGGTAAGGGTGCTGGTGAAATTACAGGCACATAGGACTTGGTAACTTATGTCTCCAGGTTACAGGCGCAGTCACAGTGCCCTTGGATCTTTGCGATTTAAGCTCTGAGTAGCACTGGAACTGCAATGGACTGGCGTACAGCACGTCAACTGGTGTCATGTAAAAAAAGTCACTGGAGGGAAAACTTTGTGGCACACGGTCGAATTCGGTGAGCAGCGTGTAGATGATCCAAGCTTCGCCCTCATGAAACGCAGTCTGTAACTTCTCAGGAATAGGTCGGCCTTAATGTTGTGGCTTTAGTTGGAAGAATGAAATAAACGCTTGTATAACGACCGTATTAAAAAGGCCAAAAAATGTTACGCCTCCACGCAAATTCTGTCAATTAAATGCAGGTAATGAATCAGTGTTGATTTACAAAAAAAGTTATGGTTTGCTTTCTACGTTATCTTTATGTAATCAGGAACAGTCAGTCACTTACGTCAATGTATATTTGGTAGGTAAATAGTTTGTTCATTTAATTTACTTCGCCTGTTTTTATTAGATGTATTTTTTTTGTAATGCCATATATAGACTGTAAATTATCGTTAGTTTTTAATATGTCAAAAGGCATTAGTAGCGACTTACAAATTAAAAAATGCTGAAGTGATCATGAAAACTGGTGTTAGACAAAGGCGGGGTATATAGTCTTTCAGGCCAGCAATGAAATTGATAGCTAGGATTCAGAAAATGGTTTTGAGATTTTTTTGTGATATTAAGCGATAGGACTAGGAGTAGATCGCCTGATGATAAGCGATACGCCTATCTATGACAGTTGCAATACCACTCAGAGCTTTAAATTGCAAAGATCTGAGTGGCACTGCCACTACGCCTGTCTGAGACATAAGTTGATTAATTCCATGGACCTGCAATTTCACCAGCATTCCTAGGTTTCAAAACCGGGACGCTGTAATGTTATTATAAATATTATTTACAAATTTTCAAAAATTAATATTTCAGAAGCTATTGTCGTCTGTAACTTTCAAGTCTAGTTAAGTGCTTTTGTTTCTTTAAATCATGGTTAACCTAAAACTATCATGTCAAAATTGATACACATGAACTGACCTACAATCTGCCTTTGTCAATTTATAAAACGGAAATATTTTTTAAACTGCCGGCGACGTTTGAATTCGGACGAATTATACAATTTGCCTGCGACATAATCGATATAACATGCAGGCAGAGAAATTCAAATTCGGTTTTTATATACCTACTAACACTCATTTCAATCATTAAAAACTGTGCAAAAACAGTGGTATATATGATTAATTTAATATATAAAATTCATTAATATTTTTCTTTACATGGGCAGTATAAAAAAATCTGAAACCATTGTGAGTATCTGTACAACAAAAATGT